TGCTTAGCACAGTACCTGGCACACTGTAGGCACTTAAAAAATATTTACTGACTGACTATAAAATTAGGGAGCGGGACCAAGGTTCCTTACTTTTCTAAAATGCTATGAAGCATCTACTCTAGATTTTTAATCCATTTTTAAGGGTTCTGCATAACCCTCTCCTCGAGCCAGACTGTCTCTCGATCATTTGCCTCCACACCTTTGCTCACCTCCCCTCACTGCTCTATCTCTTTCTGTTTATCCTAATTTTACCCAGACTTCAAATCTCACCAACCTCATGCTGCCTTGCCTGACCCCTCTCACCCACAGGAATTTCCTCCCAATTCCTCTAGCATATATTGTTTGTTCCCCTCATTGATTACTTAATAAGGTACTGACTGATGCATAGCACACTTCATACTGTTTCTCTAATTTATTTAACCCTTGTATTGTGATTTAGCATTTTTTTCCATGTATAATATCCTGTCTTTCCATCTAGACAGGGAGCTCCTGGCTCATTGGCTGCTGAAGGCAGTCTCCTTTATGGTCCCCTACTGTACCCTGTACAATGCTACAGACTTAACATTAGGGGCAATAACGGGGGGGAATGGGACGGCGGGGGGGCAGGGGGAGAGGGGGCTGGACTGACTTGGAGGAGGGAGAGACCTGGGTTTGAATACTGCTTCATACACCTACTAGCTCCATGCTTTCAGACAAGGCGCCTAACTCTTTGCAGCTACTTCCCTCATCAAGATCACAAAACCCAAGGCACCTCCATTCTTCACAAGGTCACTGTGGGTATCAGATCTAATAACACGTAGAACTTGAGCTGGGAGGGACCCCAGAGATCATCTAGTGCCAGCCCCTTGTGTTACAGAAAAGGAAACCTAGTCCCAAAGAGGAAACGTGACGGGCCCAAGGCGACACAGGCAGGCAGTGAATCTGAGATGGGATTTCAACTGTCCACAATATCAGTTCTGAATTATTATTGTTAGCAGCAGCAGTAACTATGTGTTTGACATATCTAAGACAGTTCACAAGAGCACCCCAAAGAGCCCAGTCAACCTTCCCCAGAGGGTATGTCCATGGGGTCATGGGATTCTCACTGGATTCTTTCCACTGAAACATAACAGGGAGGAGATGGAGTGGCCATTCCCAAGATGCGCCCAAGTCCAAGGGGGTTAGAACAAGTGATAATGAGAGGAGCTAGGAAATCTAACATAGTATCCTGAATCCAAATGAAAAGTGCAGCACTACAGATTAAATGAAGAAACAGGCTCTTGGTTTACAAAACTGAGCTGATGTGATCTAGAAACAAGATGGGCAGAGGGACAAAGAGCTCATAGGCTGATTACAGATGAAATGATGTGCGTGTGGCACTAAATCCCAAAGTCAAACCTGCACCACACAAGCTGGAAAGTTACTTTTAATGGGACTGGCAATGACCCAAGATGAAAGTTTCAAGCTGGGGTATGAAAATGGAGCAAGTCCAGGCTAATGCGGCAGATAAACAGTGCACAAGAATACAAATGCTAAAATGGCTAAGTTAGCTCACTTCCCCAGGACAACGGGAAGCTCTTTGAAAGGCCCAAAGATTCCAGGTGGCACATTTTACACAAGCAAAATGAACAGGACCAGAATAACACTGACACAGTTAGAATGAGGAAGACCACTCACTGCCAAGTTTGGGTCATCTGCATATAGCAGAGAGTCCCTGAGCCCAGATGAACCAGATGAATCAGAAAAGCAGCAGAAAAATCAACCTGACAGATTATAACAATTGCAGGGAAAGGACGTCTCGTACCAATTACCATTTTGGCTTTTATGCTACTTCATTTCTCAGGAGATCTCTCTCTCTCTCTCTCTCTCTCTCTCTCTCTCTCTCTCTCTCTCTCTCTCTCTCTAACTTTGGACCCAACAACACTGCTTTGTTTTAGAAAGTTCTCTGAGGAAACTAGCAAAATCCCATAAAAACCACAGCAAGTTGTTGTAACAAATCCCAGTCCATCCTCCATAAATAAAGAAAATTTATATGTGAGATTAAACCATAAAGAAGAGTTATGCATAGGATTTGTGAGGTTTTCTAAAGATAATTTTAGTTGCTAAGTTGCATTCTGCATAAATGAGAGGGCAAAGGAAGACATATGAGGGGGCTGTCACATTTCTTGGGCCTCCCCTCAAGCCTAAGCAGGAGTGCAAAGGTAGCACTGACTACCGGGAAGACAGGCAGTCCCTGAACTACGGGGCCATGGAAAATTGTATTTTCCCACAAGAGCAATATTAAAATTTAGGGCTGTTTGAGTTCCTGACCAATAATTATACATCATATAGACCACAGCTATGATCAACAATATGACAGAAAAGCAGATACAACAAATAGAAACCTCTATAATTATTTAAGCAAGTAAAATTACACTTGAATTCCTATAAAGTTTATTCTATCAATCAGTTATACATGGAATCTCAGTGTATTATAAAATATACAGATAGTACATAAAAAAGGCAACTTTATTGCCCATAAATTTGACTTAATCCTGATATGTTACCTACATGATAGATTAAACACTTGATAATTTTTTAAAAATTAGACAATTTTAAAAGAATATTTTCATTTATTTCCTTATATACAGATAATTTTGTCTGTTTTATTATTGGTTATTTTCAGTGTAACCATCAGGGAAAGGGATGTGAAACTGCAAAATCTGAATAAAAGGAATCAGACTATGTTGTTTAGTTTCAACTATTTTTTTAAAAAAACTTTTTAAAAAATGTGTTAGCCATGCTCCCCCACCTCCCTCCCATTTTCATTCCTTATTTAAAGGGCAATCTAGCAGGGAATTTGAGGTAATGTAATAACAAAATATATCAACAAAATTTTAAATTAAAAAATGAAAGAATGTAAGAAAAAAGAGAGGGAACTAGAGAAAGAAAACTAAACAAAGCCAAACTATACTTTTAAATTAAACAATAATTTTAAACTTAATGTTTTAAAGGGTTTTGGGGGATTGATGTAGATGGCCTAGCTCTAGGGAAGTATGGGGAGGGAAGCAGTGAGATTCCGTACAAAGGAGGTTAGGATCTATATTTTATTTTGATATAACGAGGCATTCAAAATGACTCTCTTAGCCTTGTGGCTTGGCTCAAAGTCGGGCACATTCTTTAAAACAAAAACCAAAAAAAAAAACCAGTCCTTGTAGTCATCTACATAGATGAAGGTCTCACTGAGGATGTCCAAGACTCAACCTGGCCCAAAGGTCCAAGAATACTACCTAGCCAGCTGTACTAAAACCACTGGGCTTTTTGCTTGTTTGTTTTTGTTGTTTTTTACTATTCTTCCATATATGTATGTTTACATATACACAAATGTGTATATACCTTTCCACATATACATACGTATACATGTTATTACATACATGTATACACACACACACACACACACACACATGCACTGAGAGCTTATTAAGCTCTAATACCTTAAGACTGTTATTAATAACACTTTCGGGACACCCTGTAGCTGGGTAGGTCACTTAACGTCACTCTGAGCCTCAGGTTCTTACAATGAGATAAGGTATAGAAAGCATTTTGCAAGTTTTAATACGCTACATAAATGCCGGTGGTTAGCTAAGCAATTCTTGAGTGGAAAAATCAAAACCAACCCAAGGGACTGACCTGGGCTTCCACAAGGAAGAGGCATTAGAGTTGGTCTTTGAGTGATGAAGACAGGGAGGGAGGGAATTCCAGGCACAGGGAATACTCAAAGTAAAAAACAAGAAGGCATAGCCCTAGTACCTGACACACAGTAGGCACTCATTAAGTGCTTCCTGATTTGACTTGACTTCTTGACTAGGACAAAAATACTTCTTTAGTCCCTCTCTAAGAGGCGATCCCTATAATAGAGATACATTGTATTTATAATTTCTGGTATAACTAAAATACAAAATCTTATTAAAATTGGACAGAATTGCACAAAGGTATGCTTTTTTTAATGGCTGATTATTTTTGAAGGGAAGAGCTAGTTTTTTTTTTTAAAAAAAGCCCTTCTTATGAGAACTAGAGGAAAAACTGGGGTTATTAACAAAGCTATCAGGAGAAAGGTAAAAAGCGGCAAATACTGATTTGGGGGCTATTAGTAAATGTGAATGTAATATTTAATCAACATAAATAATGTAATATGTCTGTAATAAAATAAAATGTAAAATTCTGCACCTGACTTGTAAACAGTACTGGCCTTCTATTAAAAATGGACCTAGGAGCTTATCAATGTGGCTATTCCCTCCAAAGATGCAGATCCCAATCCAGCTGTGCCTGCCTATCCTATGTACTTCTTGTCCATATCCCCCTTCCAGGAAGCCACAGCAGTCCACCCAGAGTGCTAGAAGCATCCCTCAGTTTCTCCTGACGTCATGAAATACTATGGTGCATTCAGGAATGATGAAAGAGATGGATTCATAGAAGCCTGGGAAGACCTGTATAAACTGGTGCAGAGTGAAGTGAGCAGAACCAGGAGAACCATTTATATAATTACAAAAACACTGTAAAAATAAGTAACTTTGAAAACTCTAAGAACTCAAGAACAAGGCAATGACCAACCATGATTCCAGAAGACTACTGATGAAGCATGCTACCAACCTCTAGAGAAAGGAGTGATTAATTCAAGATGCAGAATGAAACATACATTTTTAGACATGGTCAATGTGGGAATTTGTTTTGCTCGACTATGCATATTTTTGTTGCAAGGGTTTTGTTTTTCCTTTTTTTTTTCCTTTTTAAATCAAAAGTGGCTAGGTGAGAGGGGGAAAGAAAGAATTTTTAAAAGATCTATCCAAGTGCTATGATGACCAGAAACCCTCACTTGAATCTTCTATTTTTTCAGGGAGTTTTCAGCTAAGTTGACTTAGGACCATGGTAAAATGCCAGTAGCTACCATAAGTACTAAATATCTCAAGAAAATGATAAACAAATTCATTCCACGTTTCAGGTTATTGCTGTCATCTGGAAAATGAAACTGACTTAGAATATACCTGGTTTGGAAGACTTTATCTGCTGCTTAATTTTCATTACTTCTTCTGCTGATAAATCTCCTTTTTTCAGCACGACAACTTGTGGCTGCTCGTCTTCATTGTCGCTCCTGTCATCTCCCTCTGGGATTTCAGGTTGAATTTTCTAGAAGAAAATCACACAAGGCAAATCACTAACCTCAGCCTCAAGGCAAATCACTAATCTCAACCAACTCCATATCTCTGAAATTGCAAAATGAAGGGAAAATAGAACCTTATTAAGTAAATAAAATAACCATATAAATATGTCCTTACTAAGTAAATAGCGCTCCCAATGCATTTCCCAGTGACTGAAAGGCAAATAGATACCCCATGCCTCACCCCTCCTACCTCACTCCCTCCACTTTTTAAGACATTTGTTCATTTCCTTCTTTTAGAGGATTTTCTCAGTTTGCCAACATGTATGAATTTCGTCACTCTTATAATCCCACTGAGATGAATGAAAAGTCCAAGAAAGAAGAGAAATGATTATTAATAACTAATTATGAATAATCATTCCTCTCACCACCCCTTCTATACTGTATAGAAGAGATGTGACATCTTTCTTGAGCCTTGCTCTGGGTACATTCAAAGTCTCCACGTCTCTCTTTTCTCACTTCCAACCAAGAATAAGCACTAATCCTTGGAGAGTACCATACCAATAACTCCGATACTTCAGGAATTTGTGACTTCACTGGTCCAGTAATGCTTTCCACCAATGAAGATTATAACCCCTTTAGAACTCCGGTTTTCTGGTCTCTCCCACTGGACCGCCGGCCCCGTGGGCCATCTTTCACCTCTCTATCTTCAGCTCTTAGCACTGTCTGGCACACAGCAGGTGTTTAATAAATGCCCAATGACCGACTATAGCCAAACTGTGGCCGAGCTCATGAAGAGCCTCTGCAAACCTGACCGGCCTAGCCTGCCTACACTCAAAGCCTTTCCAGTTTGGTGGTAATAACAACAACAGCTACAAAACTAGCCTTTATACAGTACTTTAAGTTTGCAAAGCACTTTACAGATGTCATCTCATTAAATCCTCACAACAACCCCGGCAGAGAGGTGCTGTAATTATCCCCATTTTATAAATGAGAAGACTGAGGCTGAAGTAGAGGAGGGACTTAGCTGGGGTTACCACCTAGACTCGGGTCATCCTGACCGTAAGGCTCGCACGCCAGTGACCGTGTCACTAATGACAGCTTTTCCTCCCCTCTACAGCCAGAGAACCCAGGATGACGCCCATGCTAAAAAGAGGCATCACAGCAGGACTTCGGTGGATGTGGTACATGACAGACCTACTACATAACATCTACCATTCGGTCTGGTCTGTTCGTTCGTCTTTATTTTCTCCTATTATTTGTGGTAGAGACTGAAGTCAGAAGCCACGGTTACATGCCTCAATTGGCCACATACTAGCAACGGAACCTTGGGCAAATCATTAACATCTAGTTTCTCTGGGCCTCAGTTTCATCACCTGTAAAATGACACAGTGGGACTAGATGGATTTTAAGGACCCTCCTGGCTCTCACACTGTGGGGCTGTCAGGTGTCTGTCTGCCTTCTTGACCATGGTCTGAGTCTCATTTGGATGACTATGAAAGGTGCCTGATTCAGTGGCACAGGTAAATTAGATATAGAACAAATGCGCTGAAGGGATAAAATGAAAAACGAAAATAAAATCCTTTAGGATATTGATGAGACTGAGATCTGCATGTTCTGGTTCTCCTTTAATCAATCCTTTTGCTCAAATGACTAGCTGAAAAACAAAAGGAAAAGTCTCTAAACAAGTGCAGGAGCAGTCACCGGGAAGGAGCTCAGCTTTTCTGAATTAGTTTCCAAAAAACCCTAGTGAGGTACATTGAGAACCTTAATTACAGAATGATTTGTCCTCGTGCTGTATCTCTCCTCCATGTACACAAATCACAGGAAAACGGTTAACAGGGCCAATTCTGCTACTAAGATGAATGAGAATTCAGTCTTACTGCCTGAGGAGTACAAAAGAACACAGTGTTCTTCTCCAAAAGCAAGTCTCTTCATTCCCCAGGTCAAATTCGTAAACAAGGATTGATCTGGAATTAGAACCAATCACAATGATTACCAGGGACATGAAATGTCTTTTATTACTGTTCTTGGAAAAGTAAGCTAAAATGTGGTAGGTAGCTGGGAATGAATGAATGAATGAATGAATGAATGAATGAATGAATGAATGAATGAATGAATTTGAAAGAACATTTTTACTGCATGCTTACTATGTGCCAAGCACTGAGGATACAGATGGAAAAAGCTTTCTGCCCTCAAGGAACTCATACTCTAATTGAGTTGGGCAATTTACAAAACAAAGTTGAGCTGCTGGGTAGATGGTAAGGACAGGCAGACCTCAGCAGCCAGAGGCAGGGCAGATGGTGGTAAGGCTCGCTGGTACCCCATCTCCTCAGAAGGATTAGTCAATGACATCCATCTCATCAAAGCCTTATAAACAGTTATGCAGCCTGCTGCAAAGGTACCACCACCATTTTGAAGTCCTGGATGAGTTCTGAGACTATGGGTGCCACACTTGGCTTGGAGGCCAAATTGTCAAATGGACAAAGTTGATTTTAATTAATTTCTTATATTCCTTGTAATATCTTCTTTTCCCTTCTCTACCCTTTTCCCTCACTGTTCTATCCCCCACATACCCAGGATCCTCTAGATTTCCTCCACAGAACCTCTGTTTCCAGCCCACCAGCCAGGATTTCTCTCCGTAACTGCAGTACCAAGCTCTAAAACGGGCCCTCCTCACCCTCTCCCTCTGTGCTTTCTCCAAATGAAATTCTCTCTTAAAAGAAGCAATCTTGGGGCAGCTAGGTGGTGCAGTGGACAGAGCACTGGCCCTGGAGTCAGGAGGACCTGACTTCAAATCTGGTCTCAGACCTGATACTTAACTAGCTGTGTGACCCTGAGCAAGTCACTTAACCCCAATTGCCTCGCCAAAAAAAAAAAAAGCAATTTTCTCTGCTTTAAAATGTTCACACCAAGGTATGACACACTAATGTTTTAAGTTTCCAGAGGCTGAATATAAATGGGAAGTTTATTAAAACAAAAGAATCTCAAACTAGTAGAACGTCTTGAGATTTTTTTAAGGACAAAGGCTGTTTCCACTTGCCTACATCATGGCCATGCTCACTGCAAAAATGTGATCTTTCCCCATTTCAATAACTGAAAACCAGGCGGTGTTGGAGAACAGTCATGGTTTCAAAGTCTGAATACAGGCATACCGTGCCTAACATTCTACAGAAGCAAGCTGTCACAAGAAGAGTTATCAAAGGCAGTGGGATTTTGCAGATTCAAGGTTTTAGTTCTGTACTTTATTAAGGCCATTACTGTGAAATGAGGTGGGAGTGGAAGCAAGGGTGCAGAGAACCTTCATGTACAATATATCCTATAAAGACTCCTCTACCTTACCAACATAAAACATAGTGGTTTTTAAAAGGCAGCCCCAATAATGGCTATTAAACTCACTCCTATCTACTAATAATTTCTTCTAGCACATGCAACAAAAACTATTTCCAAATCAATATTCTTATTTCCTAAGAAAGGAGAGGCCATTACTAAACTGCTTCCTTAGTTTACACGGCCAGATTCAGGCATCCTCTCTCACCAAGCTGTGTTAACTCAGAAGCCTGAAATAATAGGGTGTTCTCTCTTTTATATCATTTATACTACCAGGCTCCAAGACCCTAAAAAAAGTCTTTTTTATTGAGTTAACAGAGTTCTACAACATAAACACTGTGCTTTTTTTAGTGTTCATTTAATAAAAATCATTTTAATGTTATCAGTTCTATCAATGTATACCTAGAAGAATACATTTTGCACTCCATCTGCTGGCTGGCTGGCCTTACGTTCTATTATTACTAGCAAATTTTTAATTAAAAACTGGAGGAAAAAAATCTAAGTATCTCAGGGATATTCCCCAGAGTTCCAGAGGCTTTAATTAAATTGTAAAAAAAAAAATTTATGTAAACAAAAATTCTGGGTGCCAGGCAGCACTCTATGTCATGATATGGGAAGGGAAGAAGAAATACTCATTAGATGGTTTACGTAACAAAACTTTAAAACAATACTTTTAAATCTCAACATTTATGTGGTTTTCTTCTACTGTTATTAGATGTTTATTAGTTCTATTAAGTTGGATGAATTTTCAGGGAAGTAAGGAGTAGAAATTTATAAATTGATTCTAATTTCTAACAATCTATACTAAACTCAAGCTAAGTTGAAAAGTATAAAAATGAATTAACTCTAAGAGTGCTTGGGCTATTATAAAAAAGAATTTTCATTTAAATTGAATTACATCTGCCCCCCAGCATGGGTGAGTGGGTGGCTTACAGTGAACCATATGAAGAGATGATGCTGAGCTCAGACGTTTTGTGTCAGTCTATAGTGGAGTATTTGGGAAGATGGTTAGTTCTTTGATACTAATGCCAAGGTTGAGTATTAGATAGATCCTCATGTAAGCCAATGAGGTTTGAGATGTCATCTGGAGGCAGATTCCTTTCAATCCTAGAAGGTGGGCCTTTGGCCACTAAGACATTTGGGAATGGTGTGAACGGATGAATGCAAAACCACTACTGAGAAAATAACTCAAAATGACACTATACTCATGGTAGGACAATAGTCTCATGTTTGTAAGCTAAAAGGGTCCTTAGCCTTAGGTGGAATACTTATTGGACTTTAGACGCCTTTGAAAAATAGTCTCTTAATGGTGAATATTATTATTTTAATTATTATGGCTATGTAGCTTTGGTTTCCAACACAGAATCGTCCAGAACGGTTTCCAAGAAGGCAGCCAGAAAAAGAGGCAGCTTATTTGTGTCATGTGCATCTCTCCCTTCCCCTTTGGGTCACTTACAAATTCAATTCTTTGGAGATACTGGAGTTTCAAGATTCCTAGTCATACAGCATCACTAGGAGAACGCTAATATTACCGCCTTAAATCCTATGTTCATTTCGGCCTCTACATCTTTGCTTGTATTATGCCCTTGACTAGAGTCGTCTTTCCCCTCTTCCCCACAGCCAAAATTCTCACCTCTTTCAAGGACCCACCTCTAATCCTGCTTCCTCCATGGAATTGTCCTTGACTGTTCAAATCTTAGTGAGTACCTAGTCCCTGTCAAGAATGTAGTTCTTAGACTTGTATGGACTAATGCTGAGTGAAGTGAGCAGAACCAGGAGAATGTTGTATACAGTAACAACCACGTTGTGTAATGACTAGCTTTGATTGACTTAGCTCTTCTCAGCAATGCAAGGATCTAAGCAAAAGTCTCATGATGGAAAATGCTATCCACATCTAGAGAAAGAACTATGGAGTTTGCAGATTGAAGCATACTATTTGCTCTTTTTTCCCCTTCTGTTTTGTTTTGTTTCTTCTTTCTTGTGGTTCCTCCTATTGGTTCTAATTCTTCACAACATGACTAATGTGAAAATATGTTTAATAGGAATGTATATGTAGAGCCTATATCAGATTGCACGCCATCAGGGGGGAGGAGGGAGAGGGAGAAAATTTAAAACTCAAAAGCTTATGGAAGTAATTGCTGAAAATTAAAAATAAATTAAATTAAAAAAAAAATTTTTTAAAATAACCAGAAAAAAAAAAGAATTTGTTCTTAATTGTATTGTCTCCTAAAGTTAGATGAAACTCAGTGTGGCTCAAGGGAAAGAGGACCAGGATGGAGTCAGGAAGACTCTGCTTAAAGTCCTGTCTCTTACATATGGGGGCTGTGTGACCATGGGCGAGTCACTTGAGTTTTCAGGACTAAGACTCTAAGTTACAGGTGAGCTGCTGAGCCGTATCAACAGCGTTTCCTCACCAAAGACTCTCTCTCTAGGAAATGGCAGGTCCAGAACACATTAAAATACAGAATAATGCTTTCATACAGGTTACTGTCACCCTGACTAGTCTGTAAGCTCTGAGAAGTCAGGAAGCCTGTTTTATACTTCAGTGTGCCCATACCTCTTAGCAGCAGAGGGCAGATACAGGAGGTATTCAATGAATATTACAATAGCTGGAGATTTTCAAGGGATGACATGACAAGAGCTGGAGATTTTCAAGGGATGACATGAAAGCAAAGCATAAGGCCACAGTGGTGTCCTGCAGAACTGAGTACCAGGATGAGGAAAGCTGAGTCCCTGGGTGCTGTGGAAGACCACAGAAAGCATGGCAGGGCCAGCTTCACCAATGCAACCCCATCTCTGACTGAGGCCGTAGAACGCAGATGAATGCTGGCGTTAGCTGGGACACAGCGCTGTGGGATCATGGACATATGGGCAGAGTCATTTTTTCTTCCCTGTAAAATGGAGCTAACTGGAGTATGTGAGCTCTTTTTCTTTCTTAGCAGCTAGTGTTCATTAGTGACCATGTCCTCAGAATTCAACCAACTGGAAGCCAACGTGACAGTAACAAGCCTCTCACTATTTAGCTAAACTGGCCATCAATCAAGAGCATGACCAGGCCTGAGCTCAAAACCTTCCCAGGTTACGTAGGGTCAGCTAAGTTCTAGCCTTCAAGTTCCAAACCCCATCCATGCCTTAAAGCATTAGAGAAGTTGCTTTCATGAAGGCTCAGGCAATACCTAATTCTTTATCATTTTTTCCTCATACTGAATGTCAGGGTCTGGTGTTAATGAAGGGTTATATGAAATTTATGCTTAGGAAACAGTCACCTCTTTTGGTGTGAACTGCACTGGTCAAGACCCGGTGGCCTCAAAGACTGAACCCCCCAAAGCCCATCACCTGACTTCATTTCCCCATGGCTTCACTGTTAGAAGACTTGAGATTTAGAGCCCAAAACACTCTTAAGAGGACATCTAGTCCAACCTTGTCCTGGGTTCCAGTCTCTCAACTTCCTACCTAAATTTTTCTGAAAAAGTTAATTTGAGAGTAATTTTTTTTTTAATTTTTATTTTTGCTGCTGGCCAGGCCTGCAAGCAAAACAAACTAGTTACAGCTCTGACTCCCATGTATCAAATACAAAGTTCTGTATTTGACACAAACCAGCTGCACGACCATGGGCAGGTCAATTAGCTTCTCAGCTCCTCCAGAAAAACACTTTGAGCTACACAGGCCAATAGTTGGTCCAAATTGCTCCCCCTTCCTTCCAAGGACCCTCCCCCCCAAAAGGGCAGCCAAGAGTTCCATGGGACAAGAGTCTGAAAGACTTGAGTTCAAATCCAGCCTCTGATGTGTGACTCCGGGTAAGTCACTCCACCTTTCGCAGTTGGCCTCAGTTTCCTTATCTGTGGAATAGGAATAATAGCAGCACCTGACCCTTGTAGGGTGGTGATGAGGTTTAAATGAGATAATAATTGTAAAGCCTTTCGCAAACCTTACAGTGCCTTTCATATAAACGTGTGACTATTATTAAGAGGTGAGGGCCCCGCCCTACTCCAACCCACGGACAAGAATGATTTACAACAGCAACGATGGCTCAGGTTCGCGTAACATTTCTAAAATTGCACCCTGAGGGGAGGGGATTGCAGTTATAGTCCTGTTTTACAGATAAGGAAACTGAAGCAGACACAGGTGAAGTTACCCAGGGTTATCCAGCCAGTAAGTGTTGGAGGTAGGATTTGAACTCGAGTTTTGCCCGTGGTTCACTCTCCAAGGCCTCCCCCTCCACCCGCTGCCCCCGCTCCGGGACAGGGCGCTCCCCTTCACCGGGGGATAGAGAAGCGCCGTAGCCCACAAGGCCTGGCCTGACCCAGCCGGCGGCCCGTAGAGCGCAGCAGTAACCGGAAGTGAAGGGGTCCGGGCGGGGTTTCCTTAGCAACTCGAGGGGAGGGACAAGTTCCCCCTCACCTTGGTTTCCACGGTGGGCCCCTCCTTATAGCCGACCTTCTGCTTGAAGCGGGCCAGGAACGCGGGCTCCGGTGGACGCACGTATGACACCTGATTCCGCTTGCTCATGGTTTCTCTGAGAAGAAGAGGCCGGGAGAAAAGCAAAAGGGCCCCGGATCTTACCTGTCTCCCGGAAGCGGGAGTACGCCTCCTCCCACCCCGGCTACCGTAGCCGGGGAGGGTCTAAGGACTCCTGATCTGTGACGTCATTTCCTCTCCACGTGATAGGGGTCCGCTGTCTTTCCGCTGACTTCCGCCCCTTCCATGGTAGTTCCCGTTGTGGCTTCGCCCTTTTCCGGCCGTCTAGCGCCAAATTCAAACACACCGCCATTTTGCAAGTACTTGGGGTTGCCGTTCTTGGGGCCGGGGTGGGGGGTTACGTTTTGGGAGCGGGAGCGTCATGGCACCTGGTGTCAAAGGTGAGTCAGTGTGTGTGAGTGCCTGTGTGTATGTTTGGGGGGAGGGGGGGCTGGCGCTGCCAGGGGGCCCAGACCCCCGCTTGGACACCTAGGCCCTCCGGTCTGGACCAGAAGCCCCCGGGGCTGGCAGGGAGGTGTGGGGGAGGGGCTGGACCTTCCTGGGCCCCTCCACCCGAGGCCGGCCCGTTAATTACATTGCAATTAACGCAGTGAAATTGTATAATGCGTAAATTTAACATAACATGTAATAAACTGCGTAATGCATAGCATTGTATAATCTGTAGTACATAACGTGTGATAACGTAAGGCATGTATGCAGAGCAGCTAAGTGATGCAGTAGATGGGGGGCCAGGCCCAGAGTCAGGAGGACCTGTGTTCAGATTGGTCACGTCACCCTGTTTGCCTCAGTTTTCCTCATCTGTAAAATTGGCTGAAGAATGAAATGGCAAACCATTCCAGTATCTGCCAAGAAAACCCCAAATGGGGTCACGAAGAGTCAGACACAACTAAACGACAATCAAATGAAAGCTATAGATATATCCATATGTGTATATATACATGCATAATGTACTTACAGTGCTTTGCAAATCTTAAACTACTACATAAAACTGAACTGTTATCATTATTACTAGTCTTAATCTTTCTTTGCTTTCGTTTCCTCACCTGTGAAATGGGGGGGGTTGAACCTTGATGGTGTGCCGTTGTCCCTTCCAGCCTTAAATCTGTGATGTTGGGTCCTGGGTGTGAGTCCTAGCTCTGCTGCCAAACCACCTTGTGTATGACCTTAAGCAAGTCTTTTGTTCATCTCAAACACTCTGCTTTCCTCATTTGAAAAATGATGTTCTGACAAAAAAAAAAAAGACAGAGTTGAAGCTACTAGGTCGCTTACAACTCTAAATTTGTGATCTTAAAAGGGCTGTTAACACTTAGTCTTTAACTTACTTGGGTTGGTGGGACTAGTTTTCTCTTTTAGGAATGAGGAATCGGAGGCAAAGTAGAATTTTAAAATGTTTTTAAGTTTAATAAGTGTTTTATTCATTCAGTAAACTACCTGTTCTAGGTTCAAAGGTACCTAATTCAATTGAACACATGTATATCGAGCGCCTGATAAAAGGCACTGCTTTAGGTGCTAGAAGCACAAAGAAAAATAGGAATTGGACCCGTCTTCTGTGGGAAAATCGAAGTCAGGTGTCTTGACTCACTGGTTCACCGCTTTTTCTATTAGACTAGTGGTTTTCAGATTTTTTTAGTCTCAGGACTCATTTATACCCCTTAAAATTACTGAGAACCTCTAAGAGCTTTTGCTTATATGAATCATATCTATCAATATTTGCCATTTAGAAATTAAAATTGATAAATGTTTTAAATATTAATTCATTTAAAGTGACAATAAGACCATTACATTAACATAAATGTGTTTTATGAAAATGTGTTTTTCAAAACAAAAGTTTAGTGGGAAGAGTGGCATTGTTTTACATATTTTTGCAAATCTAACCTCTGGCTACTTACTATGTATGTGCCTGAGGGGCAGCATTTGAACTCACTTCTTCCTGCCTCTATGCCCTTGGCCACACTGTCTCTATAATGCTCATATAGATCAATTAAATGTGGTCACAGAGGTTTGTCAAACTCACTACTGCAGTTATAGGACAATTTGTTTCTTCTCTATTGCAAAGATCTATGACTTCATAGGTATGGGTATTGAATACACTAAGAAATGTGTAAGTGATTTTCCCTCCTGTACTTTTTTTTTTCTTGTGTAAAAAGACTGATTTTTTTTCTAGATTTGAGCAGTCATAGCCATCCTATGCTTCTTTGTTATTTAGAAAACCCGGAAAGTGCAACTTAGCTGTCAAAAACTGGGGGGTTTTTTTGTTGTTGTTTTTTTAATCTATGCTGGAGTGTAGAGCTATCTCTATACTTACGGCTTGATTACTAGAAGTACGGCTGTGAGGTAACTGAGGTTTCATTATATGGCACTTTCTGCTTTCAGGAATCACTTTTCATTGAGAATATGTCACTCCCTTAATTGAAAAGTAAAGATCATTTTTTCTTTCACCATATCACTTTAACTATTTCATCTGTTAACTGTTGGGGAGGTAAGAGTATAAAAGAATACTATGATGCCTGTTTAATTCCTGTTTAATGATATTTTCCTGTCTTGTTTTCTAGACAGTTTACGTGCCATAACACCATCACAATCTAACCAAGTAAGGTAAGAAAAACTTCTTTGGTGGTGTGGAAATGTGTTCTCAAAAGGCAGCATGGACTGGAGAAGAAGTAGGGCCTTAATGAAAGGAGTAGGCTTGAGTCAAGAGACATTGCTCAGTATCCTGGGTCTAACACCTATTAGCTGAATGACCACAGGCAAGCCATTGAATTTCTCTGACTCTCCTTTGCTTCATTATAAAAGAGAGTAGTGATGCTTATACTACTTATAAATAAGTATACGTATGCACAGGGTTCTTATGAGGGAAGCATTCTGGAAAGCTGATGGGCCGTATGAATGTGGAATGGTGAGCTCTTGTTCCTGTTCCTTGCTCTTTTTGCCTTGATTGTCTGGAACCTTGGACAAATCTTTGTGAGCCAGTTATGTGATATTTGTTGTCTTGAGGTGATGCCAGAATGAGATCTGAGAAATACTTGGAGCTTCTTGAAATGAATACCGTGTAATTTACAGTTAAGAGGCATGGGATAGGGACAGAGAATGTGTAAGACAGATTGGTGTTGAGGTTGATTTGCCAAATGGAGAAATTTTGGGTACATTAGAGTTCATATTTTTAAGTATCTTTTAACTAGAAACTCATCTTTAGTAGACTTGGTCTTTAAATATTTGTTTTCCCCTAGTAATGAGGGTGATGTCATCAAAGTTTTTATAAGAGTCCGTCCCCCTACAGAGGGGCCTGTACTAAATAACGGAGAACATCCTGGCATGTGCTTATCAGTGCTCACCTCCAATACCCTCCGTCTGCATTCTAAGCCCGAGCCTAAGATCTTCACATTTGATCATGTGGCAGATATGGACACCACTCAGGTAAGTATGATTTTTGATATGAAAAGGAGAGCCTTTATATGTGCATGAAGATCCAGTAGTTTGGTTCCATATTTTATAGAGTTTTTCGAGGTATTGGTTTTAGTAATTACCTTTTGCTCACTGTTACCATAAGTAGTATGAAACAGAAAAGTTTTTTTTAAATTTACAAGTAAGGCAGAGGACTAATTTTGATAAATAGTGTGATTCTCTTCTTTGCTTGAAACTGCCTAGTCTGCTTTACTTTTCTACCTGATGATTGTCATAATTACTTGCCAAAAGTCAGTAATGGGAAAGAAGAACAAAAAGGGCTTAATGGCAAATATGCTGCTTGGGGGAAAATCTAGTCTGGCTTAATGAAAAGACTGATTTATGGGCTGTTTTAAAATAAATGCTGTTTTATTACTTACCATGTACATATGATGAATTAAAATACAAATAAGTATTAACTGAATTGGAGTAATAATAACTGAAATTTTGTTTTTAAAATCTGCAAAGTATTTAACTATTTGAGGCTTACAACAACCCTATGAGGTGGCTACTACAGGTGTTATCCTGATTTTATAGATCACAGGGAGTTAAATGATTTGTCAGTGGTCACACAGCTGTTTTGTCGGAGACAGAGTTTGAACCCAGGTCTTGACACAAGCATTATATCTACCACATCACTTTGTAAGTTAATGAGAAAATTATAATTCACAATTGACTTACATAAACATATACTATATGATAATTAATTATATTAATATAACACATGATAATTTCTGAACCCAGACATTAAGGGCATCCTTAATATTTTGAGCCCTTGATCTATGAATGTTTTAAGCAAGAATTTTCTAGCTCATGAGTAGGTCTGAAAATAAAAAAGTTTTCCGGTTATTGGTTCAGAATCTTATACCTAAATCTTGCAAATTCCAAATTTGAAAGGGATCAGAATTAACATTTTATAGTAATTTATAAAATAGGCAGTTCCTGAATAAATTGCATTGTCTATAAATGACAATAGACAACATTTGGTTATTGTGACTGTTAAGGGGTCCCCTGAAGTTGTCTTTTTGAGTTGCCATATTTTCCAGAAACACTGGACCCAGAGCTTGCAGGAGGCCCTGAATGTGTCAAGGATGAAGCCGCCACCACCCCTCCCCCGCAGCTGACATAATTTGTCGTTGTGCCCCAACCTGGACTCCTGTGTGTCCTTGCGAGGCAAGACAGGCACCAGCCAGTCTGTGCCAGGCTGGGATAATGCCTGTGTAGCTGGGATCCTTTGCAGATAAGCAGACCCTCCTATCTTCATGGTCTAGCAGTTCTGGGGGGGAAAGAATGCAGCTTTTGCCATCAGCTTGGTTCTTCCCGTGGGGGTTGGTCTTGTCTATTATTTTTTCCCTCCTTTGCTGCATTGTTTCCCCTCCTGTGTCATGCCCCTTCCTGATATCCCGTCCTCCCTTTTTCCTGCTTTTATGAAAATATAAACTTTTTTTTTTTTGGTTGGGCAGTGGGGGTTAAGTGACTTGCCCAGGGTTACACAGCTAGTAAGTGTTATGTGTCTGAGGTCAGATTTGAACTCAGGTCCTCCTGAATCCAGGGCCAGTGTCCTATCCACTGCATCACCTAGCTGCCCCCCAAAATGTAAATTTCTGTAAGGACCATGAACTCTTTACTCTGGCTTTGATGTACATATCCATATTCATTCCTCCTGCAACAAATCTAGT